TTAAAAAAAAACAAAAATCTAGCAATTCATAATACACCTTGATTATTTTTCATCCCCTTCTTCCCCCTCCTCCTCCTCCCTCTCAGTCCACTTCCTTCAAGTCACTGGGAATGATTCACAACACTTTCTATAGAATTAACCCATTCTCATAATTTTTCAGCTTCACCCAACTATCCCTTTTGAATGCTGAATAATTCTAGGTCACAAGTAAATAGTATTCCTTCAGCAACAAATATTTATTGACACACTATTATATACCAGGTACTATTTTACAAGCTGGGGAACACAGCAGTAAAGAAGAAAACTGTGCCTCTCCAATCATCTGCAGTACTAACAATTCTTTGGTATTCCTAAGATTAGGGATGCTTACTTGAGGATTTAATCAATACAGATCTCAAGGTAAGATAGACCTGTATACTGACACATTATGTATTCTATGTATAAAATTACAGACTCTCTCTGGGAAGCTGAGGCAGGAGGATCTCAAGTTTGAGCCCAGCCTAAGCAACTTAGTGACTTTGTGAAATCTTGTCTTAACATTTAAAAACATAAAATTAACTGAAGGGCCTGGGTATGTAAATCCATTCCATGGCTCTGGGCTCAATCTCTTGTGCCTCTGCCAAACATATATATTTATGGTATCATATATACCAACATACATACCTACAATATCAGAGCAGAAAACTCTAAATACACACAAGTGAGATACATAAAAATAAGATGGTAGGAAAAGGAGCATAACGGTTAATCCACTCAGTCCTGGTAAGTGTTGTGGGAGACAACTACAAGAAAAGGACCTAGAACCAATGGGGCAAGGATAGGAACAGAGATATCTTATTGTAGGAAATGCCCATCTACAAAATAAACTGATAATATGTATGGAATGGCTGAATACAAAATTCACACCTAAAGAAAACAAACAAAAAGCAAGTACTATACCTTTATAATGCCAATGGCAATAACACACTTTTCCAAATAAGCTATACTTTTAATGACAAAAAATGGCTACCATTGCATTTTTAAATCTCCTTTTGTGAAGTTCTTTTATTCAATAATCTTATAAATGTAAGAAAACAGCTATGAATTTGTATTATTTAATTCCTAAATTTTCTATAGACTGTATTAGATTTTAATTTTCATGACCAATTTAAATGGTAAGTGCTTTAAATTTTTGAAAAACTATGCTCTAATGAAAATTATCAGTATGGCAAATGTTGTTTAGTGGTGATACACCGAAGCAAGTAACTTGTCCTCTCTGCACTCAAATTTTACACATTATTAGACCTTAAGGTTTTCTCTAGTGCTATACTTTTTTAACCCTAAAATAATGAATGTACTAACAATTACTGTTAACTTCCTAAAATATATATTAGAATGAAATACACTTATTAAACTAACATGAAACCTTATTCTATTTGTCAGTAATGAAAAACAGTAGTGATTTTCTATGAATAATCTGAATCATATTTCAAACAATAATAAAGTTTCTTTCTTGTTCCAGATACCTGCATTCTTAATCATGTTTGTGATCAGGATCCTCAAATTCTACAAAAACTAGGAAGAATCTTTTCTTAAAAAAAAATTCACAAAGTTAAAATGCTGCATAAAATTCCAAGAGCTTCAAAGTCTCCTGAAGTTCCAGAGTCAAGATACACTCTTTTTCAAAAACTGTTCCATGTAGAGCCTGACCTTCACACTGTGAATTTGCTTTATGTTTGAGCTACATCAAGGCAAATATTCAGTTATTACTACTAATAATAATTTAATAAATGTCAAAAATGCCAATCTTAGCATTTTACAGGGGTTTAAAATCTGTTAAGGTGGGCAGGCCTGACAGCTCAGTGGATTAAAGCACCTGCTTAAGCAGATGAAGGGGCCGGGGTTGGATCCCCAGCCTGCCTTGCCAGCCCTGCCCCAGGGTTTGCTGAGACTGGGCATAGTGGTGAATGAGACTGGGCATAGTGGTGCATGCCTATAATCCTAGCACTTGGGAGGCTGAAAACCAGAAGGATCACTACAAGTCTGATCTGTGTAGTGAGACCCTGTAGATCCCATACTAAAAATAC